TTTTCTTCGTTCTTTTTTCTGATTTTTCCTCAGAGTTGTAGCCAAGTGTTTGTCTTCAATTTTGCTGATCCTATCCTCCATCGTTACAAACCTGCTGCTCAGCCCTTTTATGACACTGTCCATTTCTGAAATCTTGTTGTTTATCTTTTGGATTTCTAATTATTGTTTTTGTATGATTTCTGGTTGTGAATTTATTTTAGCATTTGTTCGTGTATCATTTTCCTGACTTCTTCCATTTTTTTGTTGGTATTTTCCATGAATTTTTCTGCCTTTTCCATGAATTTGTCTATTTCTTCCTCATTTTTGTCTGCTTTTTGCTTCAACTCTTGGATAATTCTGAATATTAGAGATTTGAATTCCCTATCAGTTAGGTCTAATGCCTTTTCTTCTACTGGAAGGTCATCTGGTGTTTTATTTTGGTCGCCTACTGGAACCATCTTGTGCTGTTTTTGTAAATGTTTTGACATTATCTGCTGTCTTTGGGACAGTCAGTGATTACTTTCCTCATTTATTGATTGTAGATTTGTTTTTTTCTTCCTGCTTTTTTGTTTTATTTGGTTATGTCTGAGTGGGCAGGCTGTGCATTCTTTGTTGTTTGTTCATCTGTGGGCATGATACTTTTCCCCTCCTTCTACAATTGGCAGGGTCAGTTGCTCAGATATGGTACAGCAGACAGGTCTTGCTGAAGAGGAGTGGCTGAGATGGGTTGTTTGTGGCATGTACCAGGGCTGACAATGCGGACCGGGAATCGGTGCAGGGCAGGTTCCAGTAGGCCACGCCTGTGCTGCTTGAGAGTGTGATGTTTAATGCATAGTGCAAGTAGGCAGGAAGGAGGGGGTAGATTCTGAAGTGTGGAGCTAAGATGGGTATGGGAAAGATGAGACAGAGGAGAGAGGAACAAGAGCCAAAAACATACACACAAACAGAAAAGAGTTCTCAGGGAGCTTGTATTGAAGTGGAGAGATGACAGTTTGAGAAATGGGGAAAAACAAAAATGAAAAAAAGAAAAAGGGTAAAAGAAAAAAGTGAATAAATCGAGAGACTGGAAATAAGGAAAGACAAAAAGGGAATGAGAGAGAGAAGAAAACAAAACAAAGAAACAAACGAAAAACAAAACAAGAAAAAAGAAATGCCCCCAGGGATGTCCCTGTGCATCTGCGCAGAGTAAGGGAGTAGCCTCCAAGCTGCACGTACTGGCTGGCTAGAAGGGGCTCCCAAGCTGAGAAAAGAAAAAGAAAACAAACAAACAGATCAAAACAGGACACATCAGAGCAAACAAACAAAAAAATCTCTGGGGGTCCCACCAGTGCGGTGGACAGGCCAGGAAGCAGTTTCACAGTCAAGCAGTGTTTTGCAGCCTTTCAGGAAGAAGCAAAGATGGCACACGGAGCCAGGTATTTGAGAGAAAG